ACTTCTTTGATTGGCTCTCCCACTTCCCTCAGCAGTTGTTCTAAAACTTTTCTTCCCCTCAAACCCTGACACCTCCCAAGATAATCCTCTCAGCAGATGCCCTACCTCCTAACTCTCTTGTGAAAGTAGAGGCCATCAATTGGATTCTCTTCTTTTCTATGCCATCCTATAAAACCCTTCTGAATTTTTACCCATCCTCTCCTTGGCTGAGGAAGAGGAAGTCTTTGCCAAGACTCTCAATCCCATCTCCTCCTGTCTTTTCTAGGAATTTGCCTCCTGGATCATTCCATCTCTGTCATTTTCATTGTCCATATCTGCTTATTCTTTCCCTGTTGCCTATAAAGTGCTCAGATATACCCCATCCTATTAAAAAAAAAATCACCTGACTCTACCATCCCCTCAAGGTATAGTGGTATCTGAATTGAACTTTAAAGGAAAGAAAATATTTTAGGCATTGGGAACAGGATGAGACCAAAGGCACAAGGTAGGAAAATCCAGGAAACATTTGAAGGATGAAAGTCCAGTTTGGCCAAAGAACAGAGTATATGAAGGATTGTAATATAGAAAGGCTGCAATGTTAAAGTAATCAGATTCTGTTGGGCATTGAATGCTGGGTAAATGAGTTTGATCCCAGCAGGTATGGTGGTCAAGACCTGTAAACTCACGTACCATGGCAGCTTAGGTAGGTAGATCTCTTGAGCTCAAGATTTGAACTGCAGTAGTCTATAAGAGTTTGGTGTCTTCATTAAGTTTGGCAATAATATGGTAAGCCCCTGGGAAAGGAAGCCATCAGGTTACAGGCAGCAAATTGACCAAGTTCAGAACAAGTCAAAACTCCCATGCAGTTTAGTAATGAAATTGAGCCCATCAGTAGCCTCTATATCCAGCCTGAGCTAGGTGGGGACCCCATACAGAAAATATGATCCAATATATTTATTTATCATTGGGATCCACAAGTACTGCTATTGAAGGGGAGGAAAGAAAGATGTTTGCTTTTAGCTACATATAGCATGAAATCTAATAAATTTAAATGACAGTTTGAAAAATTAGATCCCTATAATAAATAAAAACTTTGTTGTCCTTGTAAGTGAATAAAGCAACAGTTGTAGTTAAAGCTGTCTCTTAGTTACAGGTGTATGATATGGTGTTAAAACTTACTTCACAAAAGATTTTTTTTTTCTTTTTTGGTTAGGCAATTGGGGCTAAGTGACTTGCCCAGGGTCACATGGCTAGTAAGTGTCAAGTGCTTGGTCTGAGACTGGATTTGAACTCAGGTCCTCCTGACTTCAGGGCCAGTGCTCTATCCACTGCACCACCTGGCTGCCCCAAGATTTATTTCTTTTGAAAATCTATTGGTAACAGTGCCACATTTTGATATAATCAATTTTTTTAAGAAGGAATTATATTGGGCTCCACACTGCTAAAGCCCAGTCAATATTGATGGAAGTTCTGTAAACACTTAATTTGGCCTCTTATGCAATTTGGGCATGTTCATAGAAAATTGTTTGGAGAAATATAAGTGAGAAACTACAAACAATTTTTTGCATTGGGATAAGTGATCAAATTTATTTTTAAGGCCCTTTAAAAGGGAAAGCTCTTTGAACAATTGTGATAATATAGGATCAGAGCATAAGTTATTTGTATATTATTTTGTAACACAATTGCTTTCCTGTGCCAAAGAACTTTAAAGGGTCTTTGAGCTAAAAACATTTTTCTAAGTGATATTAGCAAAAATGAAGCAAATTCATTTTAATAACAAGGTTTCTCCAAAGACTGGTTAATGTGGTTGTTAGTTTTAGAAAAACTGAGTACTTGTCAAAGAATATGAATGGGCAGTTTTCAGACAAATGAAAGCTATCTATGGTCATATGAAAAGATGTTCTAAATCACTGACTAGAGAAATGCAAATTAAAACAACTGTGAGGTACCTCCTCACATCTGTCAGATTGGCTCATATGACGAAAAAGGAAAATGATAAATGTTGGAGAGGATATGGGAAAACTAGGACACTAATACGTTGTTAAGTGGAGTTGTGAACTCCAACAATTCTGGAGAGTAATTTGGAACTATGCTCAAAGGGCTATAAAAAATGTGCATACCCTTTAATCCAGCAATACCACTACTAGGTCTGTATCCCAAAGAGATCAGAAAAAGGGGGAAAGAACCTCTTTGTACAAAAGTATTTATAACAGCTCATCTTATAGCAGCTGGCTAAGAATTGGAAATTAAGGGGATGCCCATTAATTAGGGAATGGCTGAACAAGTTGTGGTATATGAGTATAATAGAATATTACTGTGCTGTAAGAAATGATAAGCAGGATGATTTCAGAAAAACCTGGAAAGACTTACATGAACTGATGCAGAGTGAAATGAGGAAAACTGGAAGAACATTGTACACAGTAACAGCAATATTGGTACAGTGAGCAACTGTGAATGATTTAGCTATTCTCAGCAATATAGTGGTCCAAGACAGTCCCAAGGGATTCATGATGAAAAATGCTATCCACCTCTGGAGAAAAAGCTGATGGCATTTGAAAAGAAACCAGAAGCATACTATTTTTTGCTTTCTTTCTTTATTGTTTTTAGTTTGAGTTTTCTTCCACAAAATGACTAATATGGAAATATTTCATATGATTGTACCTATATAACCTATATCAGATTGCTTACCATCTCAAATTAGGGAGGGAGGGAAGAATAGAATTTGGAACTCAAAACTTTAAAAAAAAAAAGAAAAAGAAAAATGTAAAAAATTATTTTTACATGTAATTGGATAAAATATATATATATATTTTAAACTGAGTACTTAGAGTTAGTGCAGAGTCCTCAAATTCATACTCCAATCCAGGAAGATATATTTACTGCATTTATGAAAAAGCTAGAGCTATAGACAACAAATTTATAAAAAAAATTTAATATGTTGCAATTAGGTGGAAGAAAGTAATGACCACTTGATTAGTCTCCAAAAGCAGTTATCATTTTAAAGACCTAGGTATTTCTAAATATGAATGGATAAGGAATTTTCAATAAATAGCTATTTCAATATTATTGAAATATCTATTTTAATAAATATCACTTTATTGTATGTTTATGTATGTTAATTTTTTTTAAATTGTATTAAGTTCTTGGTTTTACTTGAATAAAATATTACCTAAGAAAATTAATTGTGTGAAATTGTTTTATGAAAAATACTGTGGCAGCATTTTTTTCCTTAAAATTTTTTATTGTATGTAAATTTCCCAAAAAATGTTTTTTTTGAAGTTTGGAATGCAGACTCAAGCTGACAATGAGCATATTCTTTCTTAGGTACGAGTAACAATGATTACAACTCTTCGATGGTTAGGAGTTTTTTTCCCCACTAAAAAAGTGAGACATCATAAGTAAGAAAAGCATTGGGTTATCAATCAGTGACGCTGTAAGGTATACTGATGTACTTGCAGTTCTTTAAATCTTGCTCTGATTGAGTATATTGTTTATAGTGATTCTGGTAAAAAAAAAATGTTATTTTTGGATAGGATTCTATCTTTATTGCTACTGCAGCTGCCTTTTTATAGTTTAACAACTAATCACCAAGTTCAGGTCCCTTTCTCAGTCCTCATTCTGTTTTATTTCTGCAGTCTTTGCTATGTAGATTATCCATCCTTCTTCTCCAAATTCTCCTTTTGGCTTCTGCAAAACTAACTGATTCTGATACTTGTCTTACCTCTCTGATCACTCTTGTCTTCTTCAGAGTTTCCAATTAGTCACCAAGCCCCATTTATTCCTTACAGTAACCTGCCATGTCCATTCTTTTACATTCCTATAGCCAATTTCTTAATTCATGCTATTTCATGTAATAGAGTCTTCACTCATCTTGCCTGTAATTCTCTTTTCTAATCCATCTTACACATAGTTGCCAGACTGATGTAAAAACTCACTTTGGTCATCTCATTCCCTTGCTCAGGGGCTTCTCAGTGTACAAAGTAAATAAAGCCCTTGCAAGTTGCTTGAGGCATACCTCCAGTCTTCAGTCCCAATACAGACCTTGAGATGCCCAAACGGTTCTAAGTCCCTCAAATATATTTTTATTGTCTCTATCTCTGTACCTTTGCTCACATAATTCTATACATACCCCTTATCTAGAATGTTTCCCTAGAATAGGAATGTCTTGCAAACCTCAAATTTACAAAAATGACAGCAAATATCATAGTTTAGATTGGTTATTGATTTGTGCTCTCATTTTATAATATGAATTACAGTAGTAGCCTCTCTATTCTAACATTGTCAACAAGCATCAACAACAAGCATATTTATTAAGCACTTAACATGTGCCAGGCATTGTGCTTATAAGCACATTTTATACTGGACATTTTATAAATGTCTAATGTTAACTCATCCTGTGTGTCTGCCTGATTATGTTTGCTTAAAAGTCTCTTCCATTTAAAATAGTGATTTTTTTCCTCAACACTAAAATATTATCTAGGTAATGCTTTTCCCCAGTGTTAAACTATATTAAATTTAGCTAAATGGTATTTTTTGAAGACAAACAAGAAAGTGGAATGATTTATCTGTAGACAATTATAATAAGAAATGACTGCAAACTGTAGTTCTAGTTTTTCTTATCAGTTCTGAGATCAAAAATGCCCATTTTAATAGACAGGAAAAACTGAGTATTAATTGAGCATTTATAAATACTAAAACCTTAAAGTAAACTTCTGAGTTCATACCTGTGAGAAATAAATGTAAATTATTTTTGTTTGCTCAAACACAAAACAGATGATCTTGCATGACAGTTTTGTGCCCTTCTGTCTCATTTTTATTTCTCTTGATTATAGAATTAGTCTACTAAAATGAAGGTTCTACAACTTTTTCTAATGTTACTTTTTATTAAACTATGTGTCCTTTTGCTCCATGAAAAAGGAATTGGCATGAATTTATAAATAAGTGTCTTTTGCTAATGAAGCATTGAGTTGCCTTTGATCAAAAATTAAATGATTATGATGGGATTTTTTTTCCCTCTTCAGTACTGGATGAATGAATACACCTCATCCATTGGAATTGGAGTTTTCCATTCAGGAATAGAAGTGTATGGTAGAGGTATGTATATATAGTATCTTTAAATCTACTTTATAAAGATATGTGATTCTTAAGGAGCTTCATGAGTTGAGATTTTGGGTGTATCCTTATTAAACAATTGTTGTTATAGCTTCTGCTTCAGAAAATGAACCAAAAAACCCCTGAACATTCATTCGCCAAGCTTGTTAATTAACCTTTCCAACAGGCCTTAGTTCTTTGGGCAGAAGGGAGTGGAAATCACCTGAGCAATATAATTGTGATAGAATATCCATTCCTTTAGCCAAAGTTTTCTGTTGTCATCTTTTTGAAAGTCTCGACCTGTCATTTTATGCTGGTGTGCATATTCCCTCTATCAGTAAAGTTAATTCAGAACCTTAATGACATTAGCTGTCTGGGGCACTGAGCGATTAAGCTATTATGTGTTAGAAATAGGGCTTAAACTGGAGTCTTCTTGACCGTTCATCCATCAATGCCATGCTACCTCTCTGTTAAGTATATATCAGATTAATAAGAGGTAACATAAATAAGAATGAATGAATAAAAAGTTGTGATGAGGACTTGAGAGTAACTGAAAGATTATATTTTTACATCATGTTATCAATGATTTTGAATGTAAATATTACTAAGCAGACTTAGTTCATTGCATTGTTCAGTGCTAAGTGTATCATTAAAATGTCATATGCCTCTTAATTGAAAGTTATATTTGGTTTTGAATTGTAACTTTATGATGCATATTTCACTTTGGGTACTTCTGCCTTTGACTTCAAGTGGAACTATTGTAATTTATTCAGTGTTACCCAGGGTTACCCATAATGACTGCATATAAGGTACAAAATATGAGTATAAAATAGTGTCATTTGCATATGTATTAGCATCATTATTAAAGACTCACATTTATATCTTTCTTTGTGATTTCAGAATGCTTTGTTTCTATCCCATTATTCCTCATCACTATTCATTAATCCCTGTTCTGGGTTTTAGGGTGTGAGGTATAGTTTATTGAAGACCATTCTTTAAGCTTCTTTTTACTTAATAGACTGCCTCCCTCTCGCAATCCTCAAAAAATATGAGGTTTTTGCAAAAGATATCAGTGCCTTTAGACATAGCTGATGATGGTTTTGTTGTCCACTAATGACTTTGATTTGATTTGGCTTTTGTCTAAGTTATGGTTATTAGTGAGATCCCCTTCATTCTGAAAAGAAAGGAAGGCAGAGGTACCTAATTATTGCTACTTTCTTCACTACTGTCTAGTGAGAATTTAAGCCTCCAAATTTTCGGTGTTTTGTTACTAGCAACGTTTGTGGTAGTAAATTGTTGAACTTAAAATTTTCAGCACCAGACCACATTTTAATGTCAAACACTTCTCGAAAGAGGAATTGAACAACTAAAACAGAACCTTAAATACCTTGTGTCTCTGGAAAAGGGACCACAAAATGTACGGAGAGCTAAAAGTTAAATTTAGCAATAGCATGGTTTAGTGGAAAGAGCATTGGATTTTAGAGTTAAAGGATGACCTATATTCATATCCCCATATTGCTACTTATTACCTTTGTGCCCTTGGGTAAGTCATTTTCTTTCAGGGACTCAGCTTCCTCACCTGTTACTTTGAGGAGATTGAATGAAGTTATGTCTGAGTCCCTCCCAGGTCTAAATCTCTGGTCCTGTGAACTGTTTTTGCTATCTGTCATTCCTTGTTATATGAAATTTTAAAAACTATGTTAGCCTCACCTTGTCACTTAAAAGTTACTTTGGAAATCAAATGTCCTGCCCAAGGTCACATTGTAATATCTAAGAGAGAGACTAGAAATGAGGCTGGAATTTCGTTAGGTCTTCCTTGTATGGAGTTCTTCTCTCTGTTATTATGCTGGATGAAAGTTCATTGAATCTGAAAGAATACTTTGGCTGAGCTATAGAAATGCCTGCCAACAGAGTTTCTGTCCCATAAACATGAGTAGCTATAGCCCTTTAATAGCTGGGGGAGGGGGAAGCATTAATAAAAATAGCTACATTCACCATTGAGTATTCATTCAACTCAGTCTTCCATGACTAGAACAATTAACAACAAAAGAATTTGAGATGCTTTCATTTTCATATTCTCAGATCCTCTGCATCACATCTTCTGTGCATTTAATAATTTAATACAAGTCAGTAAAAAAAGATTCAGCAACCTGGTTGGCTTAAATTTTAACTTTGTGAAAAATACTAAAAATCATGAGTTTTCTCTTTTCAGAATTTGCTTATGGTGGTCATCCTTACCCCTTTTCTGGAATATTTGAAATTTCCCCAGGAAATGCTTCTGAACTAGGAGAAACATTTAAATTTAAGTAAGTAGGGAGGATAATTTTATTACATTGTCATACATAGCTGCCAGAGCTTATCTTATTTGCAAACAATTTAAAAACACATCCCTGTAAGCTTAGTTACTTCTAGTGCTTCTTTAATACTATTTTTACTTGTTTGTACGCTTTGTAAATTAGTTGATATTATTGCATAGAGATGAAATTGAGCCAGAGTGATTGAAATAATTCAAGCTTTATTATTTAGTACTTATGTTTAGCTTTTAAACATTACTCTGCCTGTTTTTAAATTACTAGTTTTTATGTAACCTTTGGTACTTTTCTGAAAACTAAAGGATATCAAACATGATTTTTTTTATAATTATTTTCCACCTTAACTTTTTTTTGTCAACATTTCAGTGCAAGTTACCAATGTTGAAAGTTTTCCTTTTTTCCTAGTGAAAGGGAAGCAATATAGGAATTTAGCATAATTAATTAGACATATTGAAATCCATTGGTGAGATGATGTGTTTATATTAAGTGACTATAATAAACTAAAATTTGTTGTGTATACTTTTAGACCTAATCTATCTTAAAAGCTTTGAAAACCTGAGTGATTATTTTTCAGCTTCTAAATAAGATTTATATCTAAAACTCAATATATTATATTCAAAGAGTAAAATAATTTAAATCAGTGGTAATGAAACTTGATGAAATGAAGGTTTAAAGCAATAAAAGTGTAGAGTAATAGATTTTCAGTTCTTTTGCACTAAGCCTAAATACCAATGTGAGCTATCTTGATGGCAGAGCACTGTAATGCTGTCCTAAATTCATAGTGTGGAATAAACTGTCTCAGCAAGACAACCTCATAGCTGCTAAACTTCCCTTTGATACCCAATTGGATCTGTCTTAATTCAGATTCTGCTTTCCAGAGAATAATATATTGAGGGTATAGCCTAATTCTTTTTCGTAATTTCTACTTTGAATTTTTTGATATTTTATTAAGTTTAGCAGTTGCATGTCTTTGCCAGAACAATTGTAAATAAATTAAATACATTACTGCAGAGATAATAAAATCAACCTCCTAATCACGAGAGTAGTTAATCAAGATTTTGTTTGATTTCCTTATCTACTATAGCTACCACCTGTATAGATCTGGTGCCTAATAATGAAACACTTATTAAAATAGCTGTGAGAGTAATGTTAAGTAGGGTTCATCAGAAACATTTGGTTTCTTAACTTAGCATAAATATCACTGGGATGGATCTAGGACTAACAATAAAATGGCTATTGAGATAGAAAAAGGAAATATTTATTTTGCATTTGTACAAGTTAGAATTAATGTACTTTGCCTTAATGTATGTTAAATCCAGATCTAAAAAAATTAGAATGGTGAAGAAATCTTATTTTTCTGGTTGTCTTATTTTTATTAATAGTTCCTTTTCTTATATTGATCAAAGTATTCTAAGACTACCAGTTTATAAAAACAAGCCTATAAATACCTAAATACTATGTACTTATATTTTTTCCTTTTGTTTTAGAGAAGCTGTTGTTTTGGGAAGCACTGACTTCCTAGAAAATGATTTAGAAAAGATTGTAGAAGAATTGGGGAAAGAGTACAGAGGCAATGCTTATCATTTGATGCATAAAAACTGCAATCACTTTTCTTCAGCTTTATCAGAGGTAAATGAAATTGTATCCAAAAGGGCTTCCAAATAGACAATGCTATTTAGTATTTGTTTCTTGTTTCATTAAGTACATCTTACTTTACTGTTTTATTTTTCTGATCTGTTTATTTTATGTAAAAGACAACATAACGGAATTTATGTGATTTGCTTAAGATCACACAAATAATTAATAGCAGACTAGAGATCATGACATGGCCTCCTAACTTGGTTCAGTGCCCTTTCTACTATGCTGCCTCCCTCAGTCTGGTCTTTTTGTGTTCCCCCAAAACAGTGAAATCCCCCAAATCAGCAAATATTTATTGAATACCTGTTTTGTGCAAGCTTATACCTGCCCTTGTCTAACCTTACAGTTTCATTGCAATCCAGGATGCAAAAAGTCATGCTGGGGTTGCTTCTCGAAAGGAAACATCCTTTCAGCCCACATTGTATACACTCTCTACAGGCTTTCCCCACAACTGGCTGAATTGTTAAAAAATGCTCCCTAAAATAAGCTGGATTGCACAGAAGGGGAGAAGTAGTTGCTGGGAGCCTGATTAATAATAATTAGTGCTTATGTTCCCGAAGTAAGAACAAACAAATTCTTACAGGACTGAACTACTTAGTTACAGTTTAAGGAGAGGTACTTTAAGGTAAAATGGAAAACATGCTGGATTTGAAGTCCGTAAATGTGTTGGAATTTGAATTTCCAGCTCCACTTGACCTTGGTCAAGTACTTGACCTCTCCCAGCCTTAGTTCCTCATCTATATAAAATGAGAGGATTCAGTGGCCTCTGTGACCTTTCTAGGTCTAAATCTATCATTCTTTGAACCACTCCTAATACAGAGCACTTTTGATGCCTCTTCTGTATTCTCTACTTAGTCCATTCTTTCTCTGCCAAGACATTTGCCACCTCACTGTTGCTTGCATCTAAGATAATTTTGAAATTTCACTTTTAAAATGTTATTCCTAGCTTATCAAACTGCTTCACTGGTGACAGGAAGAGTCATTGCTCATTGTCTTCTTGTACTCTATCCATAGTCTTCAAGGGATAGTGAAATAAATTGCAACACCCACAATATCATTCCATATGGTTCATAGAATTTAGATGAATCATCATTTAGCTATCTCGCCTTCAGATTTTTAGTCAGATAGTTCACAATTTCCTTGATTAGCACCGGATCTGAAATTATCTATCTGTTTTACAGGTTCAGTGTGGTATGTTGCTGCTTGATCTTTTGTGTTTTTGAAGAGAGAATAATTTCTCACATTTAACATTTTACATATGAGGAAACTAAGGCTTTGAAAGATAAGTGATTTGCCTATGATCACACAGCTAGTAAGTAGCTAAGGTAGGACTTGAACCCAGGTCACCTGACTGCCAAGTGCAGCCCTATATCCGCTGTTCCAGATTACATCTCAAGCAGACATCTAATTGGAAGGATGTTGTATAATTAAGTTCCTTTTCAAGCTGTATAAAATTAACAATTATGTTGTAGGCCACCATGGGTTCTCCTTTCCTCTTATACAAAGGGAATATATATGTGCAGTAATATGTTAGATATCACCCATGCATTCAGAATTCATATGCCTTAGTAAGAATCCTCTTTAACATTTTATCTGTGGAATAAAAAACTGGAAAAGAGAGCCTTAGAAATAAGTTAGCCCAACATTGACATTTGTTTGACAAATCATGGAGACCTGAGAACCGAAACAGCTGAACAATTTACTTCAGGTCATAAAGGGCCAGAGCTAAAATCCATGGCTTCTGCTCATAGTCCCTTGGCTCTTTCTGATGACACCATGCTGCTCCCCAACTTGTTGGAGGTCTTTGTACAAGATTGTAACTGCTGTAGTCTAAAGCTGGGCTCCAGTAACCACTTCAGCATTTTCAAAGGGATAGAACCTGGGAGGCAACTTGATTTTTTTGCTGTGCTCTACTGGTGAGCACATCTGGCCAAGACTTGAACTCACTTGGTCTTTAAATCCCAAACTTAGCATACACCAAATACAGCAAGTATTTTCATCTAAACAGTAGAAAAGATAAAGAAGATTGTATGTGAAATTGCAGGTCTTTAATTATGTACAGCTTGCTTTTTTAAACTATAATAAATTAAACATGTCACTTTGAAAGCTGTCTTGCTTGTTTGTGATGCTGGCCTCCCTTTGTTTTTTTCTCAGCATTTTTTTTAATGCTTAGTGATCCTCTTCTTTCTTTTTTTTTTAAGCCAAGGAGAGGGCTGGACTACCTTACCCCATGTCCCTCTTACCAGCCTCCTTACCCCCATTGCAGGGAGGAAAAAACAAAGCTTTTATAACAAATGCATAGCCTAGCAAAACATTCCCACTTCAGCCATTTCAAAAAATGTGTTTTATTTTGCATCTTGAGTGTATCACCTCTCAGTAAGTAGATGAGTACTCAGTAAATAGGCTTCATCATCAGTCTTGGTAGAATCGTAGTTAGTCATTGCATTAGTCAAAGTTCTTAAGTTCTCAAGGTTTATTTAGTCTTTTGTCTCCAACTATTGTGATCTGGACTGACTTAAAGTTTTGTTGGGATAATCTTGCTGCAGTCTATTCATAAGTCATCTTTTTTTAATTTTCATTGCCCAGTATCAGAGATTAGCTTAGTCTTTGTCTTTGTGATAGTATTAGTTCTACATAAATTTAGTCTTCGCTTTAAAATTATTTATGTTACTAGATAAGAATTTTCTCCTTTTCTAAGAAATAAAGATCTTTCTAATTTTTTTTATTAACTAAATTGCAAGTATGTTTGAAATAAAGTCACAAGACATCAGTCATCGTTTTGCTAGTATTCATGAGAGGTAGACAGTTTTTTCAGTAGCTTCCATTAGACTCCTTCCCTACCAGTTGGTTAATTAAGTCTTGGAGAAAAAACTTCATTGAGCCACCTAACTCCACTTCTTCCATTTTCCGCCATTGCTTTTCCTCTCTTGCACTGCCTCAAGGTTGGCAATAATAAATAGTTTACATTTGATCGTATTTAACCAAAACACTTTAACTAATAGCAGCTCTGTGAAGTACCTGAGGTGAAATGATTTGCCCAGGGTCACACAGCCCAGAGCACAGGTTTCTAGAAGCAGGACTAGAGCTTCTGACCATGAAGCTCATGTCACTCTCCTGCCCTGTAGCTGCACTCAGGCTTCCTGTGATTCTGGTTGCAGACTGTATGGCTGCCACTCCTGTCCTCCCTCATCCCTCTCTATGCCAATCCCATCTCACTGTGTTCTGTTAACAAACTGTCTACTTTAAACCTGTTTCTCTACTTCCTAACTAAATAAACCTTAAGAATTTAAGAACTCTGATCTCCCCTACCCCTAGAAAACTTTTTGTATATATTTTACATTTAATTCTCTATGTTTGTGTTGTTTCCCCAGAATTAAATGTAAGCTCCTCGAGGGAAGGGACTCTTTTGTTTGGTTTCCCAGCACCTAGCCCAGAGCCTGTTACATAGTAGTTGCTTAATAGATGCTTCCTGAACTGACTCCCAGGTCACTGTTCTCACTACTTCACCTTTGTCTTCCCTATTTAAAATGGACATTGTAACCATTCTGAAACATCACCCAATCAACAAGTATTAAGTACTTCCGTGTACTAGGTGCTGTGCTAGCTAGGTAGGATGGGGAAACAAGTAATCATAACTAAGATTTGTATAGGTTACATAGATTCTTCTATTTGGTTCCCACAACAGCCCTGTGTGACAGATATTGTTATTATCCCCATTTTATAAGACCTGAAAGAAAGTGACTCACTGAAAGTCTCTTAGTTTCTGAGGCAAAATTTGAACTCTGGTTTTCTGGTGCCAAGTCCAGTGCTCTCTCCATTTCACTCCCTGGCCACCTACAGGAAACAGAACAGTCCTTGCTCATAGGTGGCATACGTTCTAATAGGGAACACTAGTGTCTGTAATTAATGTATGTATGTCTGTATGAGTAAATACAAATATATACAGAGTAGATAATAATAATAGCATTTATAAAGCGCATTACACATATTATCTCATTTGATCTATGCAACAACCCAGTGAAGTAGATGCTTTTATTATCTTCATTTTACAGATGGGGAAACTGAGTCTGGGAGAAGTTAGGTGAATTACTCAGGGTTACATGGTTAGTAAATGACTGAGGCAGGATTCAAACTCAAGTCATCCTGACTCCAAGTCCAGCACTCTGTTGTGCACTGCAGCTCCTAGTTCTCCCCAAGGTAATTTACAAGGGAGGACTCTAACAGCTGGGGAGAATCCAGAAAGGCTTCATGCTGAAGGTGCTTGAACTGTGTCTTAAAAAGAAAAGAGGGACTTAAAGGTGGAAGTAAAGAGAGAGGGCATTTAAGGCATGTGATATGGCTAATGCAAAGGGATGAAGATGAGATTCTGAAAATGCTCTTAAAACTTGTATCTTTGATAATTCACTGGTCATTGCTTTACCGAATAAAGCCAAATGGTCTAAATTTGTTGGATATAGTACATAAGGATTTTAATAAAATGTAGGCTAACTGAGAAGTCTTGTTGAGCACATAGTACAGTGAGTTTTTTCCTTCATCCATTAATGAGGATTTTGGTTATGTGACTCATGAGGTTTTCAGGTATAAAATCTACTTTGAATTATAACTTATTCTTTTTTATTTATTTATTTTCTTTTGCTTTAGGCAGTTGGGGTTAAATGACTTGCCCAGGGTCACACAGCTAGTAAGTGTCAAGTGTTTGGTCTGAGGCCGGATATGAACTCAGGTCCTCCTGACTTCAGGGCCGGTGCTCTATCCACTGCGCCACCTAGCTGCCCCCCAATTATAACTTATTCTTTTGGGGAATAAACCCAGGCAGAAATTTCTGTTCTTTCCTCCCCAGCTCATCTCCAGAAATTTTGTTGACAAAGGGTTCTCGATGTCATTACTGACATCCCATTCCACTCACTGAGCTCCTCACACCCAAGGATTGTTGAGAATGACTCCGGCACCTCTGACATAGACCTAGGGCAGGGGGAAGATCTTTTCTGCCTGTTAGGCAGCTGTTATCCTATTCCTCACATGGGGCTTGCTTCTCACCCTTGCTACTTGCAGAAGGGAAAGGGTGGAGAAGGAAGGTAGAAGAGCATCTGAGGTGCAGATGCTTTTATGGGACAAAGGCAGAAGGTCGGTCAGGAGACCTAGTAGGGAATTAGGTTCTCAGCCAAGTGAGAGCCCCCTGTAGCCCAGGGCTTCTTAAAGTTTTTCCACTTGGAATCACTTTAGTGCTTCTTAAACTGTAGATCGAAACTCCATATGGTAGCCTAGTTTCCATGTTCCAAAGGGGACTATAGAATAAAAATAAACTAGAAATTAATACTTTTGCCTGTCCCTTATGGGAATGAGTCATAGAACAACTAAGTCTGTTGCCCAGGAAGAGGTTTTATCCTGGATAGATTCCAGCACTTTGATAAACCTCATGTAACAAGTTCTCAGACCTGAGAAGGAAATGAAGGGTGGAAGGAAAGAACATTTGTCAGATAAATTAATTGAATGAGTGAATGGGCATTTATTAAACACTTAGCATATACCAAGCTTTAGGAATATCAGTGGAAAAATTTGAGATCGCTTCAGATCTTAAGGAGCTCATACTCTTGAATTGGCAGTGATGACACATAAAAGAAAGTTCAAAGTGGTGGGCAAGGCCTTGTAGCCTACAGGGTGCGTCATTGGACAGCACGGTTCCAAGGTCCTAAGGCTGTGTCAGCAGTCCAGGTGATAGGGCCCAGGCCTCTGGGCAGAACATAGAAAGAAGGCCTGGTGCTCTACCTTCTGCCTCAGCCGAGCCATTTGAGCAGGCACCAGCGTTCGAGGGCAGGCTAGTTCCCCCAACCACACAAACTGAAAGTGGCAGATAGACTTATGCAAGCAGCAGAAGCCTGAGGTCCACTGATGTAGTGATATATTAGCCTGATGTCTTACTTTGGAATAAGTTATAACTTTTCTAGATGTTTCACAGTATCATTGTGAAGGTCATGGAGAAAGCAAAAGGCAGTTGATGTTACTTAAATAGTATAGATGTGAAAAGTTCAGAAAGTAAGGAATGGCATTTGCTGTAAAGTTCCTGGCCCCTGACCTCACTGGGTAGATAGCTGCTGTCAAAGGGCACTTGGAATGTGGCCTATGGAGGACTTTCTGTGCACTGCTCTTCCTACATTCCTCAGCACTAGACAGGATTAACCTTATCTTTCATGTAACACAAAACCTGCCTTTTTCCCCCCCCTCCTGTAGATTCTTTGTGGGAAAGAGATTCCTCGTTGGGTCAATCGACTCGCCTACTTCAGCTCCTGTATACCATTCCTCCAAAGCTGCCTTCCCAAGGAGTGGCTCACTCCTGCAGCCCTTCAGTCTAGTGTCAGCCAGGAGCTCCAGGAGGAGCTGGAGGAAGCAGAGGATGCAGCCGCAGCAGCCGTCATGTCGAGTGCGTCAGCAGTGGCCAGACCTGGGCGCCACACTAAACTATAAATTTCTCCAAAGTAACACATTCAGAACTTTGTCTGGCAGTTGAATTTCACTAGAGAGCAGCAAGAAGAAAGCAAACTTCTTTTTGGACATTCCTTTTGTATGCAACAATAGCTCTTCCCCAAATCCCAAGTTTTTTCAGCTCAGGATTATATTTGTAATTTAAAAGAATCACCTGACAAAAGAGGGAGGACTTTATGTGAAGCCACCCTCTGTTTTTTTTACCCACTTGTAAATTTGGATTTACTTCTGTTTTATACAAGATCTGTTGAGTTATGTTTACAGTATTTTATATTGCTGTTTACAAATCTTGCATGGACTCCTGCCACCATGAAAGAAGAAAACCTTAATGTCTTCATAAATTAGGCAGGTAAACTTTCTACACTTCCAACTGCTGCCAGAGCTGTGGCATAAACGGCAGAATACCAAGTACGTGAACAGGTACTTACACAGTTATGGTCACCATCACCTGTTTAAGAATTGCGGTTTAAAAAAAAAAAAAAAGCATCAGAATACAAGGAATCCAAGCACGCTGGGCTTGAGATGAGAGTATATGTCAGTCAGAGGTCTTGTCTGGTGTTGGGAGGTGGGGGTGGGGGTGGAAAGAACAATTCCTGAGGAGTGGTTATAGCTCTCCTTTCCCCCTTACCCTGCTCCCAAGGTAGCACATTTGCCAGGTTTCTAACAGCAGCTGGCTTCTACCACCCTTACTGTCTACCTGGTCACCCTGTGCATGCTTGGGACTTTGTCCTGTGTTCATAGCTCCAAGAATTTTCTTAAGGTTTGATTGATTTTCTTGCCAGTGACTGCACATGTGTGATGAAAGCTCAATTTACTTTAATGCATAGTCATTTCTTAAATTGCAGAAGTGTTTTGTTTTGTTTTTTTCCTTGAACCTACTAATTTGAAATCCTGCCCACTTTATATAGTGCTTAAACGGAAGGTTGGGGAATACCTTGAGGGATGTCCTGAACATCAGCAGTTTTAGTTTGCGATCCAGGTTCTTTTAACTGTTGAGGTTATTATTTTATTGGGTTTACATGGTCCAGAGTAGTAAAGTATCTGTTGGACTTCAGTTATTTTCAGGCTTTCTATATCATATCAGAAAGACATGCCATGACATGGGGCAACCTAAACCTAGATTAACTTTGTCAAGCCCTTCTCATGGCTGTGTGCTGCCTTTGGTCATTTATGAGTGAATTATGTGCACAACCATTTCATCTCATGAGTAAATGGCCATCATACTCTCATAGACATTTTTTGTTGACAGCATATTAATGTATTTCCATTAGTTACATTTATTTTTTCAGCAACATTCAAGACATTTTTTTTTTGGTCATTTTATAATCTCTAAAGTGTCTATTTATGTAAATCCATCCACTTAAGAACCAAATTGCGACAACAGATAATAAGCACATGGTGTCAGAGAAAATATGTAACCTCCTGAAGGCCTCTGTGCCCAGGCATCTGTAGTCCTAGTTTGGCCCTCCTCTGTAAAAATCATCCTTTACATGTAATATTAACTTTTTCTGCCTTAACAATGAATTCCTGCAATAAAATTGGATGAAATTTATGAACAATTCAAGGCAGTGACTTAAACTTCATAAGTATTGTTGGTTTTTAAGTGGTTTACCTTTATTTAAGCTGCTGCCCTATGTTAAATATGTGGAGCAAACATATCTTTTAAGTAAACTGCAGTTTTCACTTTTTACGTATTCTGATTTTGATTGTTTTTATTACTTTTCATAGAACCTTCTTATAGGGAGAAATCACTCATTGGTTTTAAGAAAAAGCCTTAGGGAAAGGGAAAGCACATAACTTAATTTGTGCTTTTAACTCTTCAATTTCCCTGAAAGAAAACCCTTGTTAAAAAATACTCTCACTCCCAGAATGGGAGGGGCCCTTAGTTTATAAAGGGCTCTGTACAAATGCAATAAAGAGATAGGGACAGACACTACCTGATTTCCAATAAACTTTTCTAAGTCTGAAAATGTGATTTAAAATAAGACACTAATGACTTTATTGTTGACTGTTGACATTATTTGTAAAAAGAGAAAAATTCCTATAACAAAAACCTGAATCATTTAGAAGTAGTTTGTTTTGTAATTATGTATTTTGTTAAATCCATTTAGCTACTCATGGTTTAATTTGAGCTGCTGACTAATCTAAAAGAGTAGTAATTAGATGTTTTCCTGGTAAATAGCCAGAATGGCCCATCTGTACTTATTCAGGCTCCAATCAACAATAAAAACATATGGTGTACTTTTTTATTTTTTGTAATTTTTTAATTTGATTTACTGTCATCTGTGGCATTTGAAGATTAAAATCATTCTTTCAGGCCCTGGTTGAAAAGAGCAGTGGTCTTAGCTTATTATCAGCACACAGGATGAGAATATAAAATTTTGTGTAAGAGAAATGCTTTATGACCTGCTTAGGCAGTTGTTGCCTCAGGTCAGAAAATAAATGTTATGACTTCAGAAAAGTTATGACTTGGGTCAGGTCATTCTCTTCAGATCAAAGTTGACCTTGCTCTTTGTGACATTCATCTTGGCCTTTAAGAGATAAACTAGTATTTTTGTCCTTGCCGCTTAATCTCTCAGAAACGTTGTTTTAAAATTGAATAGTTCAAGGATGTATTTGGCAAGGATTTACTTTGCATTTAGGGGGGAAAAACAACTAATCACTTCTTAAAGGTAGGTTTGAGTTTTATTAATAAACTCATGTCACAAGTACAGTATTCAGGTGATGTTAAATATGTTGGTTTTCCTGTTTGTTTTAAATGTATTGATTTCTCTAAAATCTCTGAAAATGCCATCTGCTTTGGAAGGTTTGCTCCTTGTGGAATCTTAGAAGGTGATGTTGCTGTATCTGTGTGACCATGTGCTCTAAACTTGGACTCCACTTGGTGCCTAAAAACCTGCCATCTGTTGCTCTGACTCATAGCAATAGTGCAAGTTGCCTTTCACCAGCATTTTTAGAGAGCAGGGAATTGTGGTTTTAGTTAACTGACAGCATTGTGTGTACAAGAAGGCTTCCTACTCCCAAAGGAGTTAGAAAGACTCTATCCATGGCTTCTTTCCATCATAAAACAGGTTGAAACATGTTCACTGTTTCAAGGTTCTAAACTGCTTGCCTTCTTTTTCCCTGTTGTTCAGTTTCTGTAAGATACTTTGTACTTTTGATACACACTGTATTTTCTTTAAATGACAAAGTCATTTTTATTTGAACAATGTGGATTCTATTCGGTGAGCCCCCCTTTTCTCCTCCCCTTTCCCCCAAAGGCATCACATCATATTGTTGTGCTCCATTTTCTTTAGTATGGTTTTATTGTGCAACTGGATTCTTTACACTTGGATGTTTAATTGGAATCAGTGCACATTCATTTTCACTGTTTCCAAGATGTTAAAAGTGGTTGAAGAATCTTCACATACCTAAAGAGAAATTGTGTGAACTTGCATATGAGTTTACTGTCACTCATAGTATTTATATAAAAATAATGCTGAGAATCTTGACTTTTGCTACCTTAACATGGCAGTAAGCTATCATGTTACATCAATTTATTAAAAAAAATACTTTTATAAGAAATGTTTTATAGTGCTTTCTGGCCTCTGAGAAACGTTAGCAGTTGTGAGGGTGAGGGGTGGTGGCATGTTGAGGATGGAATTTTATTTGCTTGAATTTCTACATGTAATTGATAAATAATTGGTTAAATTCAGAATGCAGTTTTAAACTCCACCAATGCCTTCAGCTGTCCGTGGACAATGTTCCTTGTTATTTGATGAAAGACTTTCTCGTGACAGGGTGGTGAAGTTGGCAGAGGAGGCAGTCAGGCATCTAAGAGAGTCACTGGTGACACTCCAGCCACACCACGCTCTTCCCTACTCTCGCTCCCAGTGTCCCCAGGAAAAGCCTTGCTGGACATAGCTGGTGACCTGTGGTGCTACAGAGGTTTTTGACCTTCTACTTGAACAGAATAGCAATTCCTTTGTTCTTCCTCCCTTGTGATTTTTCTGGCCCTGTGATCACTTTTCATTCACACAGCTAACCAACAGCTTTCAATAGTGAGTGGAGCTCTTAAGTTGCTTCAAAATAGGTGTGCTTTTAACATGCCAACTGATTCCAGAGCATATACATGCTCAGCCCCATCCCACAGGATAGGAATTTATTATTTGCTCAGTTGCTTTCAAAGGAATTCTCTCGTCTTGAAGCTTTAGCTTCAAAAATGGTAGTAAGACAATAATAAGAAACAAACTAGATAAGACCCAAGTCCTTAGGTATTTTTTTCCTTTTGAGCTATCAAACCTGAGATGCCATCAGAGACTGCCAGTGTAAGCAGGCAGGGAGGCTAAAAGCCATTTAAGTTGCCTGAAGATGTCAAGGAGCACAATATTGACTGACTAGTGAAAAAACAGAATTTCATAAGACTTGTTGGGTTTGGACTATTTTGGGGGGGGGGTCTATCAGCCTTATGTTTGAGGGGTTTTATGAAAATACCTAATGAGTTTTTAGGTAAATTTTCAAACCACTGAGTCTTAGAGGTAGACTAGGCCTCAGAAGCCAAGGAACTAGTAACTAAGCAAAAACCCCCTCCACTCCATGCTTGGTGGAGGGATGTGTCTACTTTGTTTTACACAAAAAACAATGGGTCCCTGAAATGTTGTTCATACGATGAATAATAAGTTCAAGGAATGTTGTGGTGAACCTTTAGGTTAAAACAAACATATTTTTGTAAGGGATGGGGGGGGCAACTATTTTACTTTCCAAATCTAGATTTTTATACACTACCTTCATTTTTAAATGGCTTACTACAGCAATAGAGTTATATTAGATGTCAGAAAAGACATTGCCTATTGAGGTTAAAGGTATATTATTTTACCTGGTAATTATCTTCAACCACTGATTGGACTTTTCAGCATTTTATATAGGACATTTATAAATGTATCTTATAAAGTGACTTCAGAAAATCTGAACTGAATTCCATCATTCGTCCTTAGGGAAATGGGAGGGTTACAACAACCACAGTAGTTCTGAAGGTTGGAAGTAAATATGTTCTGGATGTTATTTGTCTTATGATGAAGTATTTTTCAATTGTGACATGAACTGCTTAATCCTAATTGACGGTTGCCATTCACTTTAAATGTGTGCAGGGCACACTGCTCAGCAATAGGGATGCCAAGCTCACAACCTAAGAAGCTAAATAAACCACAGGCGACCGTGAGAGTCAGACTGTATTAAGTATAGCGCATTCATATCAAGGCCTGTGAGGAAGAAGAAGTCGTTTGCAGATTGGGAACCAAGGATTGCTTGTTAGAGGAGGTGACATCTTACTTAGGCCTTGAAGGGAAGGGGAGGCATTTTAACAGCTGTCTATAGCAAGGGCTCTGTTGAAGGCTTAAGCAAAGAAAGCATGGAAGGAGAATAGGGTATGGAAAGTAGTCCGGCTGGCTGCAACAAAAAGTATGCCAAAGGGAGTAGAGGAGTACACCAAGGCAGAAAAGGTAAATGTGAACTTAGATCATAAAGGGAATAGCAGGGTAAGAAGTTTTTATTTTGGTGAGCCACGAAGAGTCACTGAAAGCTCTCGAAGCTACGTGATCAAAAGCAAACGTGGCCTAATAGAAGATAACTTCCTTGGGATTTGTGATAATGCTTTAGAAAGCTCATTCTGGCAGTGTTGTGAAGTGATGATGATACTCCATTGGAGAAGGAATAGACTGGAGGTAGAAAGAAGTTCGTAGCTCAATACAGTAGTATAGGTGAGAATAATACTAGTGGACCTTTACATAGAAGTGTTTAAATGTTTGCAATGAAAAATAAAGACTGGAACTAGAATGGTTATGTTTACAATGAGAGGAGCTGGGGCAGCTAGGTGGCACAGTGGATAGAGCACCAGTCCTGGATTCAGGAGGACCTGAGTTCAAATCCTGCCTCAGACACGGAACACTTACTAGCTGTGTGACCCTGGGCAAGTCACTTAACCCCATTGCCTAACCAAATAAAAAATGAATAAAAAAACGAACATACAATGAGAAGAGTGGAAGAAGTGAGTTCAGAATGACTACTCTCCAAAAATCACCCTTTAAGACAAGGAACCCCCAGGTGAAACTTAGAAGCTGCATAAGCAGCTTGAATAAGATCCATGGATGGGGAACCTGCAGCCTCTAGGCCACATGTGGCCTTCTAGGTCCTTGGGTGTGGCCTTTTGACTGAGTCCAAGCTTTACAGAACAAATCCTTTTATTACGGAGATCTGTAAAGTTTGGATTCAGTCAAAGGGCCGCACTTGAGGACCTAGAGGGATACATGTGACCTTGATGCTGCAGGTTCCCCACCCCTGATGGAGTTTAAAGATGTTTATAAAGTTGCACTAAACAAGTGCAAAGTGATAACAAGAGGTGTACTAGACAGATAACATTTATCTATTCTAAAGAGCTTACAGTCTGGCAATTAGACCCACTGTTAGTACGTATGAAGATACATTACAATGCAAAGTGTAGGAGTACTTGGTGAGAGAGGGGGTTTCCACTGTAAATGTTGGTTCAGGTTTAGCTTTTTTAGGACTTGAGTCAATTCATGCCTGTTGTCTAAGAGACTGTGAACTTAGTTTGATTGGCAGACATCTTTTTCCATATACAATACAGTAGGCATTTATTAAACACCTACTGATTGCAGAGCTCCCTATTAGGCACTGGGGTGGTGGGTGGGGGGAAACTGTTCAGATAAGACATCGTCTCTGCCCTCAAAAAGTTTACGGTCAAGTAGCCAGCATGAATAAATACTACATGATAAATTCTTTAGGGAAATTGAGATCTAAGGAGGAAAGTACCTTAATGACCAGGGAGATTAGGAGAAGTTTCCTCAAGGAGGTAACATTTCTGTAGGTTGGGTTTTACTAGATTATGAAGAGCTTTAAATACCACAAAGAGGAATTTGAACTTTTCATCAGACAGTAAGTGACCATATCTGTTATTGTGGCAGCATTATGAAGAATGGATAAGAGAGGTCAGACAAAGCAAGTAAGAAGATGTGTAAAGAAGCTATTTCTGTCCTAAGAGTAGTAATACAGTGAGAAATGATGGGGGCCTGTACTAAGGTGGTAGTAGTGGGAATTGAGGAGAGGAATAGATGTGAAAGAATGTTTGAAGTAGCATCAACAAGACCTAAAAACTGGAGAGGTGAGGAAGCATCACAGACAATCCCAAAGTTCTGAACTTGGGAGACCAGGTGAATATTAGCACAAAGATGTTGAAGTCAGAAGGCACAGATTTA